AGGGGACGCAGGGACCTGGGAGCGCTCAGTGTGCAGAACATAGAGACTGGAGCGAGGCTCCCTGGTGAACGTAGCAAGAACGACACCGGTGACAACGTCCGTGCAAACCGCTGTCCTCCCGCCTCCGAGAAAGTTAACTGTGATCTCTCTATCCTGGAGGTATCCAAAACCCACCAAGTTTCGAGTGAACGAGAGGATGTGGAGACCTCTAAGGACACCAGAAGGGATCACAGGGTATGGGAGGGTGTTGGAGCTGCGTGCAATGGCTGGTCCTGAGGTAGGATCAGCCAGAGCTGCCGGAACAGGAGCAAGGAATGGTGTGAGAGTCGTGTGGTCACTGGGACGCCAGAGTCCAGCGTGAAGGACAGGGACGCCTCAGCAGGAGGTGCATCTCGACTGGTAGCTACACAAGCACATAGGGCAGCCACACAAGCAACTAGACTAGAGAGGCACAAGTCTACACTAGCATCAGGCATGATCCTAGTCTAGAAACACGCGAGCAAACCGATCCATCAGCAGTATAGTCAACATCAGCATACAAAGCATACTGATGAGCCTCATCCATAGACAGTTCAAATACAGGAATCTTAGGACGCGGCACTTCTAGGGAGGAAGCCACGATCGATCCTGAGTGGGGATCGATCCTGGCTTGTACAGTGAAATCGTGAAATCACCACCAGGCTGGTATCCGGTTTCGTCATAGCTCGCAAGTGTACGGTAAATTGGTGCCCAAAATGGTGGCACCTCCGGCTTGCACGATCGATGTGCCTGCGCCCACACATCGATCGTGTAATTATGGAAATCGGGGCCATTTTGCCCCTGAATTTTTTCGATTGTGGCACCTGTAGCTCGGTGAGTCCAGACGATCGCAATTTTGCAGTGTGGGCACATCGGTGTGCCGATCGATGTGCCCACATCGGTGTGAGGCCCCGATCCTTCCCCGATCCTGGCCAATTCCCTAGAGGTGCCGCGTCCTTACGTGCTAACAGTTGTGCCCAGCGTGGGGTGCGTCCCTCGTGACCGTGACGCGCACGGTAGAGGTCGTCGAGGTGGCATAAGCACCGCGCTGCAGAGTGGTCGTCGCGCCCGCAGACACAAGGACTGCCCGGTCCCGTCAGGATCCAGTAGTCGCAGGGGCCGGAGTCGCGCCCAGGGGGGCGGGGGCCCCAACTGGCAGTGCTGCCGCTGCGGCTAGTACTCCCCAGACCTGCAGGTCCCCACTGCTGCGGGAGAGCCCAGTGCTACTGCGGACCCCACTGCTCTGGGGGCCCCCACTGTGAAACCTGCTGCGGAACCTGCCGCTGCGGCTGTCCCTGCTGCTGCTGCTGCTGTCCCTGCTGTGGCTGCTGCTACTGGGCTCCCGGACCACCATTCACGGCAACCACTCCACCTGCCGGGCCCGCCTGTCCAGGACCGCCTCCAGGGTCTCCTCCTCCAGGTGCACCACTACCGCCTCCTCCGCCACCACTGCCACTCCCAGCTGCCACTCATAGCTGCTGTCTCCCCGGAGACAGACACCGCAGCAGTGGCATGGGTAGTAGTGAAGCTGGGAAGCTAAGGGACAGCACACCTCTCAAAGAAACGGGGAGCTACTGTGTCGGTGGCAGAGGCAACAGAGGAGAGGTTAATTTCGATCTTCGAGAGAGTGTTCTCAAGAAGATCGATCGTAAGCTTACTAGGGTGCTTCTGAAGCACGTCACGCGCAGAGGAGAGGCGGTCAGGGAGGCGAATGACTAACCAGTGCACGGTGAGCCACGTAGGAGGGGGAGCAAGAAGAAGCTGAGCCTCAGTGCAGGCCGCACGGTATCTAGAGTCGAGGGAGCGCAGGCGAGTGGCAAGGTCGGAGACAGTCGCAAACGAGCCAAGGTCGGGAAACACAAACTGCATAAGGAGGCGGCTGAAGGAGGCAGAGGAAGGGGTGGAATAAGGCACAACAATATCATCATAACACCCCATTCGTAGTCTCCACCTGGGAAAAGTGAATGGCCTCAGTCGGTGGGAGAAGGTATGTCAGCGCGAGAGCAGCCGCATCGTCACGAGAGTCCAAGACGTCCCGCGCCAAGAAAAGTCTGTCGTAGTCCGCCTGCGCGTCGGCAGTGGGAGTGGTCTCAGTAGACAGGGGGTCGGGACGCCGGGGGGCCTGGAGGGCGCCGGACGCGTGAGCGTATAGGGTGGGACCGTCCTGACGCTGACTGGTAAGGTGGCGCTGAGCTTGGCGGAGCCAGGTACTAAACTTGATGGGGCGGCCCTTCGCATCAAAACGAAGGCGGCCAGAGAACTCCATAGTGGAGGCTAGGGTAGGAGCGGCTGGATTACGGAGCAAAAGGAGCTAGGAACGAGGAGCAAGAACCGCGAGGAGCGCCAGGTGAGCCTAGGCAATGAATGGTCGAACCAAGGAGGAAACCGAACTAGGAGCTAGGCCCTAGGAGCGAGGAGCTAGGAGCTAGGAGCGAACCGTCCATAGGTCGGGCTATAGGAGAGAAAAGCGGCTGCCAGCCGCTGATGGTGAAACCAATTGTAGCAGGAACGGTGTGGTCAAGGGGAACAGCGTGGGGAGGGTTAGGGCTCAGCACAGGACTAGGGGGGGAGCTCTCTGGTAGGACCGGGCGCGCTTCGAGCGAGTAGGGCTGGTGGCGCGCGCTAGCTGGCTGATGCCGTGCGCTGCTGGCTGGTGGTGCGCGCTGCTGGCTGGTGGCGCGCGCTGCTAGCTGGTGGCGCGCGCTACGGACGGAGCAGGGGCACGCGCGGCTGGCTAGGCGTGAAGCGTGGGCGGTGGACGGAGCAGAGGCGCGCGCAACTGGCTGGGCGGGGCGCGCGCGGCTGGTTGAGCAGAGGTGCGCGCGACTGGCTAGGCGGGGCACGCGCGGTTGGCTGAGCGGGGGCGCGCGCGGCTGACGGGGCAGGGGCGCGCGCTGCTCTGCTGGGTGGCGCGCCCTGCTCTGCTGGGGTGCGCGCTTCTCTGCAGGGGCGCGCGCTTTTCCTGCTGGGTGGCGCACGCTACGTAGGTTAGGTGGTGAGAGAGCGACGGAGCGACTACGGGTGGAACGGTACTAGGCTAGGCTATGCTATGAGCTTACCTACTCATGATACCATCTCAAGAGTTATGCATTGCGGAATGTTTGCATTAGGGTTGGGGAGCAATACAAGTAGCAATCCTAACTGAGTTGTACTCTATAGGGAGTACCTCACTGCAGCCTATAACAATTATATGCATTTGACAGTTCGGGCTAGTCCCGAGGCGTAGGACACGGCTGGGCCAGCGGTGCACGGTTTGGTGAATAGTGCGCGTGAAGGTTGGCGAAGTCTCGTTAGCAGTAACGGGCGAACAACGGCTGCTTCTGTACGCGGTGTTGAAGCATGCGGTAACATGACTATACAATAGTTACAAATTAGAATACGGGATAAAGGTGTCATTGTGTCGTCCATCCAAGCTCTGGTTCGTATTATTCTTCCGTAACGTAGAAATTTAGATATTAGTAACGTCCGTTATAAACGTGTTGAAGGTGCAGAGAAATCGCTCAAAACAAAAGGCACGTGATAAGAACAGCGAGGATTTATTCGCCCACGTACAGAGACCCGCATATGTGTGATATGCGATTGCGCTCCTGTTTCATCCGCCATAGCCAGCGTGCCTCTCGCTTCAGTCGGGCTCCAAAATATCAAGGCAGTGCACATGTCTGATGTTTCACGCTGTGAAAAATGTTCATCATGGGCGAACACGGGTCTCACGCAGATTCAGCATAAAAATGTATCCGAGTCAGCTAGATTTCACGTGCTCGCACATAAAACGAGCAGGTTGACATTTTTCAAGAAACCACTTCAAGAATTGTATGAGACATGTTTTCATCCGGTTTTCTCAACACTGTTATCCAATTCTTGTCCGTCTAGTTCTCATTACTCGTATGAACCTGTGTCTGCTCATTTAGGTCACTCGTATAACCGGTCCTCGTACAACGCTCGCCGTGAGAAGTGGAAGCGCCCGTGACCCGTGACCTGCGCTGTGCTCGTGCTCGTGAGTGAAAGGGCCATGTCGCCTTGTTTCAGGGCGCCGACGCCTTGCAACGCGGCGCCATGCGCCTTGCGCGCTGCCACGGTGCAGCGCCGGGTCCAGCACGCTGGCGGCTTGCGCTCTGGAGCCTTGCCGCAGCGCGCTGCACCCAGGAGTGCTGTTACCTTTGGCGCCTGCGAAGGGCGTTTCGCTTACTTCTGGCGCCTCGGCGCTGGCGCCTTGGCTTGCTCCTTTCAAAGGAAAGAAGGCGTAAAGTTTGCGCTGTCTCCCCTGGCGCTGTCTCCCCCGGCGCTGTCTCCCTCGGCACTATCTCCCCCGGCGCTAACACGCTGACTCCTTTCTCCGCCGGTGCGTCAAGCAAGGCGTTGGTGCCTTGGGCACTGGCAGCTAAACGTGGTCGTCTCTCTTTTCTGCCAGTTAATCCGTCCCTCTTATAGACTTCGTCTTTTTTTTCTCTCCCTCTCTCTGTCCCCTCTACCAAACGGTGCTGTAGATATAATCACAAGCCCTGAGGTAGGTGGCTGAGAGTGTGAGTGAGCAAGAGAGTGTGAAGAGGGAGGGGTGTGAGAACGAGAGGAAGTAAAGGGGAACGAGAGACGGTGTGATTGCGAGAGTGTGTTTGTGTGAGAGTGCCACTCTTTTTATGTGGGCAAGTGCATGAGAGAGTGTTTGTGCGATAGTGTGTCACATCCTGTATTATGTGCCCAATCCAGAACCATCAGCTGAAAATCATCTTCACCTCTTCTTGACTAGTAAGTGTCTTGGCTAAAGTAATATCCCCGTTTCCCTGCTCCACAAACATCCCGCAACCTCCTTCAGTTGCTCAATCACCCATTCTCAAGCCTGCATTAATTTAGAGATCATTGCAGCAGTGCAGGAGTGATAACTTCCTCGTTCCTCGTTCCTTCTCCATGGTACATATTTTCTTTTACCCGAGGAGGGAATTAGAGTAGCATGGCTCGATCGCTCAACTTCGTCCTCCTGCTGGGATTCAGCACCTTGCTGCTCCTTTCACGTAAGCCCCTCCACTTCCCTCTTCCTCCTCCTCCTCCTCCTCCTCCTCCTCCTCCTCCTCCTCCTCCTCCTCCTCCTCCTCCTCCTCCTCCTCCTCCTCCTCCTCCTCCTCCTCCTCATCATCATCATTGCAAACGCCTGCGTCACAGTTGCACTCCCTCTCCCTTGCTTCTTCGCACTTCCCAGCTTCCCGCTTTCTCCTTTTCACAGCCTTGCTAACTTCGTTTCCCTTATATTCTCTTGGGGGGCACCTCAAAATATCTTTCTTTTTCTTTCACGGCAATACCAACCCTCTCTTCCCTTATACCCCTCTTAAAACGCCTCATACTGACTTCTCTTCCTTATAAGCCCTCATTTCCTTCACTCCCCTCCCTTCCGCCCCTTTTCCACCACCCCGCCTGATCATGCGTCTCCGCTCCCTGGGAGTACAACTTCCTGGCTGCTGCAAGCAGAGGTGAGTCGCGCCAACCCAATCGCCTATATTGATACTCTGAACGCCTAGGCCATTTTGAGGCTGGAATTCACTGCTGACGCGCCATTCAACTCACCCTTGGTTGTCTCTACTCATAAGCCTTTTGAGTGCATTCCAAAATTACTCCGGATTGCCACTACTCATTGGTTCCGCTTCTGCTAGTCCTGTTGAAAGCCTACCTGTTTGTTAATGGGTAGGGCAGCTACAAAAGGCAGTCGGGGATAAGTCAGAGCATAAACCATCAATTGATGTTTTTGTTTCTTTGTTTTCAGTCTCATCTCGCCTCTCTTCCTTCTGTCCATAAAGCTGCCACATGCACCGTCTCTTGGTGGGTAGGGAGGATGCCACTTGTGACACCCCTAAGTAGATACATCCTATCCTTGGTGCTGACTTTTTTTTTTCAATCTCTCTTCCATCTATTTTCCGTCAACCCACCAGGCCGACACGCACATCATCCCGTGGGATCCCAAGAGGACAAGGCGCGTGCAGTGACCGACTTTTGAGACGCATCAAGGCCATCTCACTTCTGTCTCTCTTCCGTCTCCCTTCCGTCTCTCCCTTGCGTTGCCAACCCACCAGGCAGACACGCACGTCATCCCGTGGGGTCTGTGCGCGACAAAACGCATGCAGCGTCCGCAGATTGTCATTGGCGACAAATTAGGTGTGTGTATGTGTGTGTGTGTGTGTGTGTGTGTGTGTGTGTGTGTGTGTGTGTGTGTGTATGTGTGTGTGTGTGTGTGTGCGTGCGTGCGTGCGTGCGTGCGTGCGTGCGTGCGTGCGTGCGTGCGTGCGTGCGTGTCCACTCATCACATAGTCGAATCAAGAATCACATCAAACCAGGTGCGCCGTCACAGGCGTGTTTCCTTGCCTGTCCGCAGCAGGACCAAAGCTTGGCTTAGAAGCAGATGCCCAGCTTATCTGCCCATTGGTTACAATCAAGGGCTCTGAGATTGGAATTTCCAACCGATGTGGACATGCGGTAAGAATCCTACAGTTTTTAAACAGACTTCTTTTCGTAACCATTTTCGGTGTTGTGACACGGGCTTTTTTGTCCCAGGCGTCTTCTCGCGAGAGCATCACTGTGGTTCTGCCTGTGGGCCTGCCTGTGGGTCTGCCTGTGGGCCTGCCTTTGGGCCATAATGCTTCTTGTGGAAAATGAAACAAGTGGCACCATCCCTGTCGTAATATCCTTTCGTCCTTAAACCTGCAATTCCCATTTCCCAATCCCCATAATGCAGAAGCCACGGTCCCTCCAGTGCCCAATGCCCAGACTGCTTGCCTTCGATCTTACTAATCCCCGCCCCAGTGCTCAGTCAGCTGTGTCTCACGGCGTCAAACGTGTTTTTTTTTTTTTTCCGCTCACCACTACCGATGCCTGATGCAGTCTTTTCAGTTGTTGCTCACCCTTCAGCTCGCAGTGTTCCGGTGGGCGGAATCGGTGTGGCATAACCTGTTAATTGAAGTGATGTCCACTCACCCTCATCCATACCATGTGGCATGTGGCCTCCCCCACTGCTTATCCCACAGTGTTCAAGTGGGCGGACTTGGCATGGCATGGACGAGCAGAATGCATGCATGTGGATTGTTCCACGCTCACCACTGCCCATGCCCACTGCACTATGTTCACTGTTAATAGCCATGCTGCGTGCTGTGTTCAAGTGGGCGGACCTGCTCTGGCATGACCTGTGGATTATGGATGATCAGAAGCCATTCAGCATGGATTTTTGTATGCTCTATTCATCCCTGTCCATACCATGTGGCGTGTGTCGTTTCCCACTGTCCATCCCGCAGTGTTCAAGTGGGCGGACCTGTTCTGGCATGACCTGTGGATCATGGACGATGAGGCGGTATTCGATAATTGCAACTTCAAGCGGGCAAAGCGCCTTCGACCCCTTGTTGTTGGTGTGCAGTACATGTGAGTACGGGCAGTACACATAACTTTCGGGCAGTACACGTAATTTTCTGGCAGTACACGTAATTTTCTGGCAGTACACGTGTTTCTGGGCAGCACTGCAAGTAAATCCGGGCAGTACAAGCAAGTATGAGTAGGTTTGGCCAGTAAGATTATATTGAAGCACCGAATCCACCGCCGAATCCGCCGCCGCCCCGCTCGTCTCCCTCTAAGGGAGATCCAGTGCGGGTTTAAGGATGGTGAGGCAGTCCTCGAGGGACAAGGCCTCCCCCGGGGCCCCCAAAGCGAGGTTCTCTTCTGCTCCCGCAAGGTTGCACTTCGTTAAGTAACCGACAGATTGCCTGCGCTGCAGCACCACCGACCAGCGCTGGCGGTATTGGTTCAAAATCTTTGCAGCTTGGTAAGACGTGGGCTCGGCGTTGAAGTGCAGTCGACGCATCCCCACCCCCCTCCTTCCCTGCCCCCTCTCTCTCTCCCTCCATGGTTGCTTGCAGATTTACGGTCCGTGGATATGGCAAGTTCTTTTTCGCCTCAAGTGGCCTTTATCAGTGTAACAAGTACAAAGTGAAGTTCTCGCTTGACATGGGGGCCCATCCTGAATAAAATGAAGACAAAGTATATAGGTGTAGTTGGCCTGCGTGTTTTAAACCCCCAGTTTGAGCATCGTGGGTGGATCCATCAGGTCAAAGGTGGTCAAAGGTGGTCAAAGGTGGTCAAAGGTGGTCTTACCTACTATTACCGTCATCTCCCGGATATGAGACATATATGTCTTATCTCGTACACGGGCAAAAAGGCTTGGGTTGTCTTGTATTTGGGACGGTTTAGGGTGTCTTATAAGTCTTATAACCGGACAAAGAACCGTTTAGGTGACACCGGCTTAAAGCCCGAGGTCAGCATGGCAATTTGTCAAGTTATGTGGGGTTGAAACAGTCTGGCGAAAACCTGAAAATCGTGTATTTCGAAAATGTGTGTGGGGCGAAACCGAATTCAGGAGGCGGGAAAAACAGTCTTCGCCACGATACTATGCGACAGCTGTCCCCGAGGATATGGGAGGGCCGAACGACCCAGTGTGTGACAGAGCACTGCTCCCGCCCCACCACTGGTGACGATGAAAGCGGTATGACGTGGGAAAGAGCGGCCGACGAGGGGGAACATATGCGACTAACGGCAGCGCGCGTCTGGCGAACCTGTACAGCATTCGCGTGAGCGACTCGTGCCTAAAACGGTACTATCATGACGCGAGGCTGAACCGCAGCAAGTGTGAAATGAGCAGGCGTGTGTGAAGCGAGCTTGAAAGCAAGGCGCGAGTAACACGACGATCATTCACTAACATCAGTGCCGAGGGTGAACGGGTTGTAACACGAGACCGGCGACGTGAGGGGGAAATCGGAGCGTGCACTGAAACGGATGGTTGAGGTGGATACCTATATTTTTTTCCGCACAGAAAAAAAACCCTATCAACGACTCGCTTTTGCCAACTAGCGCTAGTTTTTGGCTTGGAGCCTCCTAGTCTATGAGTACGACTTGGTAAGCAAGTTATGTGAGTGGTGAACAGTGCATATGGTTGGCGATCATCGCGTCAGTTCTGTTTTTGGGCACTCGGGTTCCGTTGTCGCAGGACGATTGCCTGGGGTCGCGAAAGTTTCTTCAAAACAAGTAGGGTAACCCTGTTTTTTGCGATTTCAAGTTCAAGAATCTTGAACTTGAAAATTACCATGCTGTACCCAGGCTTTAACTCGTACACACAAATAGGTGTCTTATAATGAGGCTACCCCGTTTATAAGAGACACCTGGATAATAGACACCCCCTGTCTACTATTCAACACTGTCTTATATCCGGGTGATGACGGTACCGGTAATGGCGTTGATGACTATCAAACCCTCATTCAATGGTTAGACATTCAGCCAGTCTTGGGCATACAAATTTAATAACAGTTTGAAATAGGGTTCAGTTCAGTCGTATTTTCTACCTGCACATATCACTCTCCCTGCGTCCGTGATGTTATAATTAAATGCATGTGAGAATGTTCCCTTCATGAGGATCAATATGTCACCTCGAGGTAATCAGAGAATTTTACGCACCCAACTGAAGACGCGTTTGAGAGATCTTGAAATTTCCTAAGGTCATACCAATAGTTTAGTGTATCTTCCATCATAAAAAAAAAAAAAAAAAAAAAAAAGGTACACATTGATCTAAAAACCTTCAATTTCAAGCTTCGCTTACCGTAATAAGACTGCACCTATACAGGTCATAGTTTAGGGTGCCGAAGGCAACGAGGGCAAGCGGTCCTTTTGGGTTACGATGGGTCCGAACGTGCCATGCCATGCCAGGCCAGGACCGAATAAGACAGGACACGACAGGACAAGACAGGACAGGACAAGCCAGGATTTTATGGACAAGGCAGGCCAGGACAGGACAGGGCAGGTCAGAACACGACCGGACGGGACGGGACGGTCGGGACAGGACAGGCCGGGCCAGACCAGGCTAGGACACGCCAAGCCATGCCTGGACAGGACATGCCAGACCAGGCCAGGACAGGACAGGACAAGACAGGACAGGACATGACATGACGGGACGGGACGGGACGGGATGGGACGGGCCAGGGCAGGGCAAGGCAGGGCAGGGCAGGGCAGGGCAGGGCAGGGCAGGGCAGGGCAGGGCAGGGCAGGGCAGGGCAGGGCAGGGCAAGGCAGGGCAGGGCAGGGCAGGGCAGGGCAGGACAGGGCAGGGCAGGGCAAGGCAGGTTTGGGAAGGGCAGGGCAGGGCAGGACAGGGGGGAAAGCAAGTGCTTGTGTTGAGGCGGCCGATGCACGCCCGTGCGAACAATTCGCCGTTGGAGGGAGGAGGCGCATAGTTGAGTGTTTGGATGTGTGGCCCGCGTGCACTGCTTTATGGAAAAAATCGCCGCGGCCCGCGTGCACTGCTTTATGAAGCGTCGATTGCCATGACGCTATTGTAATAGATGTTCCACTCCAGAAGATCGTGGTAAAGCTCCTCACGCCACCGATCGGCGCTGCCGTAGAGGTGAATGCACTCAGGGTAGCGAAAGCGTGTGAGCACGAGGTACTGCATATACTTCATCACAAACACGCCACAGTTATACGCGTCCGTTTGCTGTGTTGCCTGCAGTAGGAGGGGGTGAGGCAGGTGAATGCGGTTTAGAGTGAGCGTGTGATGAACGGAGAAGTAGGCTGACTGTCAATGCAAACCCCTCACCCAGCGTCCATGCAAACCCCTCACCCACCTGGACCTGTTAATAGCGGACAGGTGGGCTGCCCCTCACCCCTCATCAGTACCCCTCATCAGCACCCCTCACTCACCTGGACTTTGACTAACGGCACGCGAGCAATCCAGTCGTCTGCCTCTGCCTCAGACACCACACTTGGCATCAACTCTCGCAGCTGCTGCCGCAGGTACCTGCCAGGCCAGCACACCACTTGCTCGAATGATGGTTTCAATTCACAGGGTTACACACACAAGGGCACATGCTCGGGGATAAGGGCTTACTGCCGCAATGGCACTTCAAATTCTGTGTACATGCAGGGACAAGGATTCGGCATGTAGGGGCGGGTTTAAGTCGACTCAAAACACAGGCTCGCGGATAGGTGCTTACTGGCGCAATGGCGCTTCAAATTTTGTGTGCATGGACAAGGAGTCGGCATGTAGGATGCGGGTGGGGCGGCGGGGCAGTGTGGGCGAGCGGTCGTTGTCCAGGATGACCAAACTCCAATGATTACTGTCACAGCAATGTCAATGACAATGACAATGACAATGTCAATGACAATGACAATGACAATGACAATGACAATGACAATGTCAATGTCAATGACAATGACAATGAGAATGAGAATGAGAATGAGAATGTTAATGACAATGACAATGTCAATGAGAATGAGAATGACAATGAGAATGACAATGAGTCCCCCATGATGTGCACCATCAGCGCACAGACACAGACAACTGGGGATGCACAGCACAACGTGTACGGGGAAAAACACGCCCACCCAGGCCCAAGAATTCGGTACCCAGCTTACTCTGTGTGCAGCGGGATGAGAACCCATCTGAACCGCAGCATGTTGGCATGCCCAAGGACCGGGTACTTCTCGCCTGGGCGGCGAGGCCGTGAGATTAAACCGAAAGTAAAAGTGGAGCAGTATAGCCATGGGCATTCCTCGTACTTGTTGTGTGAGTAGTGGAGCATTCTGAACAGCACATGGAACGAGGGCATGCAAGGTACGTGAAATGAGGGTGTTTTTGAGACGTCTAAAAAAAAAATTTGTACTTGTGTACGAGGGCATGCAAGGTCTGAGTCAGCACGGGCCGCGGGCATGGTTCTGATGCACTGCAATTACAGCACTTACAGTCCGAACCACTCGATGACTTCTCCACACACCAATTGCCCCGCCTGCAGTGTTTCTGCGTCACGCCTAGTCAGCACAAGCTATGAACCGTGTACGGGATACGGCATCTCGAGTTTCGTGAAGGCTTCCAACCGAGCCGCCTCGCTATGGGAGTTTTCGTCTCCCTCGGGCTCGTCCCCTTCGGGCTCGTCCCCCTCGGGCTCGTCCCCCTCGGGCTCGTCCCCCTCGGGCTCGTCCCCCTCGGGATCGTCCCCCTCGGGCTCGTCCCCCTCGGGCTCGTCCCCCTCAGGGTCGTCTCCATCGTACTCCGGCTCCATGCGCTCGTCTCCCTCGGGCTCCATGCGCTCGTCTCCCTCGGGCTCCATGCGCTCGTCTCCCTCGTGCTCCATGCGCAGCGACGGGGTTTGCTTAAGTCGCGGGGGATCGCGTGCGTCGCGCGAGCGATGGTGAGGGACCGATGCGAGAAGTGGCTGCTTAGAGGTTCTCGCTGCTTGTTCTCGATCGCGCTGCTTGTTCTCGATCGCGCAAAGGCTGGGGACCGGCAAACCCGTGCGCAACACCACTTGAGCTGCGGTGAGGGTCGACTGGCGGGTGGGGAATCGGAGACGCCGCTGGGATGACTCGGCAACCCTAATAAAATAGCCTCGCCAGGATTCGTCACATCAGGGTATGGCTAGGCTACGGTCTATCCCATAGAATCGGTGGAGTCCTTAACAGTTCTGCAGAATTGATTGGCACGCGAACGGTCCCACGACCTCCGCGCTGAAGATAAGACCTTGCCGCTGGCTTGCTCGCGATCTACGCTTTTCCTGAAACTTTGCGTCGCTAGTTGGTCGTGCTCAAGAAGATTAGGACGGGAGGAAATAGGTCAAAGCGCGTGCTTGCGGGAACGATGAAAAGTAGCGCGTGAGCAATCCGCAAACTCAAGACGCGTTAGTTCCGCAGGATCAGCACAAAACCAATCATACCGTCGGGACGAACGGTCGGTCGCAACACCATTACTTGTGATGTTGCTCGCCCCAACTCCCAGCAACTCAGCCCAAATTCCACATGGTTTGGCAAATTCAAGAATCATGAAATCTAATTCGCCAGAAATTGTGTTACCACCTAGTGCACAAAATTTGTCTCGATCAAGCGGAAGAGGTGATCTGTGATTGGCCAGCGATGAAAAAGTAACACCTCCGTAGTGCTCAGTTCAAAGCAACATGGCACAAACACATCTTCCTGACGTCGACACAGTGGACTATACGTGTAGAGTCTACAATGGAGTTAGATGTGGACCATTAGTAGTGTCTACTACGAAGTTAGATGTGGACTATCAGTAGAGTCTACTACGACCATCAGCAAACAAACCTCGTGTTGCTGCGTAGCCCAGTCGTGCGCACGACTCAGCTCAAATGCGCGCTTGTCTAAGAACCTGATCAACGCTTCTCGCGCTACGTCACAAAATTCCTGGCCCAAAAAAGTGTGCACAAAATATGTTCAAACATGCCTCGAAGTATGCCACACGGAGCATACTTGTGACATTAAGTGGATCATTGCTGAGGGATTGTTGCTGCATACCCCGCGCACTCTACTCGGAATGATAGAACTGACACGAAATGTTCCCATCCAAACTAGGGAATCCACTACAAAAGGTGACTCGTTTAAAGCTGCGGGTTTGGTTACAGCGGAGTTCAATGTACCAAAATTTTAGATACAAATGCGTATGGATTGTTACCATATTTCTACGCGCTCATTCGTGATACAAAAAAGGATGCGTATAGGAATGATCGTCCAATATAAGCAGCTGTTCGTTAGTGTACAATATGTCACTTCATAATTGATATATTGATATGCTTCACTACAAAACCTGATTACATCGCATGCATTCTATAGGAGCAACCTCTAAAAAGAGGACAAATTCACCCCAACAAACCACCACGACAACCACGCTTGCTGGCAATCTCCATGTAACCTAGAGCCCGAATCGCGCCAACTACTAATTCACGGAACTACAGCCACGTACCCATCTACCCCACTTCAGCACATCCATAACGCTAACCGCCCTTATCAAAATAGTGGTGGAGAAGCAGCCCCAGCAGCATCAACAGATGTCGCAGCAGCCGCCGCAGATGTCGCAGCCGTAGCATCAGAAGATGCAGGAGCGGCTACAGTCGGCGTTAGTTCGTCTCCTATTGGCCAACGTCCCCGCGGCTGGGCAGTGGCTCGGCGCGTTTCAGCATAGTCGCAAGAGGCCTGTCATGTCACGCAATCCATCCTCGCTAGTGCAGCCTCGCTACTAGCATCCCTCCGCCTGCTCGCAGACGCCACAGGGAATGTCGCGGTACACCAATGCGCTGACCCAGATCGCCGCACAGACGTTACGGAGATTCGGCTACACTTGTCATCTCTTGATTCGTCAGCGCGAGCCGCACAGCTATCCGCCCTATTCGTCCCTCTTCCCTTCATTCAGCTGCGTTTCCAACCAGCATCAGGTACCCACGATGAGGTTTCTAGCATCAGGTAACCAGGTTGCGGTGACCAGCCTACGGTCATCAGGTTGAGGTAACCAGTTTCAGGTCAACGGGACGATGTAACCATGCCACCATCGTTGCATCGCGTCGGATCGCGCTCATACCTCAACAACTGCCTCCCATTCGCACCCTACGACTCCCTGATTCCCCTGTTACTGAGGGTTGAAATTATGTAAGGAGCAAATAGTGATCTTGCTACTCACTCAGTGTGATGCCATCGGACGCCACGGTGATCGTGTTCTCAAGCATGCGCGATCAAACCTGCTGAAAATATAAAATTCCTCCAAGCTCACAATTGCTCCCCGTCGCCCCAGGCGTATGTGCACACGACAGCGGTCAGCGGGAGTCGATGCGGGCGAAGGGCGAGATGGGCGATGCGCCGCGATACTGGGGTACTATGCAGTGCTCCGTGCTCGCAGTGCGCCTCTGCGTTTCAGCGCGCCTACAGACGGGTGCCATGACACACCCCTCAGTTGCTGTTGTTCCCTCCGCCCCCTTCCACACACCCCTCACTTGCTGCTATTCCCTCCGCCACATTCCACACACCCCTCACTTGCTGCTGTTCCCTCCACCACATTCCACACACCCCTCACTTGCTGCTGTTCCCTCCGCCACATTCCACACCCCTCACTTGCTGCTGTTCCCTCCCTCAGCTTCACACACACACCCCGTACAAGCTGCTGTTCCCTCCACCCGCCTCACACACACGCCCCGTACATGCCACTGCTCCTATCTCAGCTTCACATACGCCCTGTACATGCAGTTGGGGCCTCCCTCAGCTTCACACATTCATGCAGTTGGGGCCTCCCTCAGCTTCACACATTCTCCTCACATGCCGCTGGTCCCTCCCTCAGCTTCACACACACTACTTACATGCTACTGTTCCCTCCATCTGCTTCACACACACCCCGTACAAGCTGCTGTTCCCTCCCCCCGCCTCACACACACGCCCCGTACATGCCACTGCTCCTATCTCAGCTTCACACACGCCCTGTACATGCAGTTGGGGCCTCCCTCAGCTTCACACATTCTCCTCACATGCCGCTGGTCCCTCCCTCAGCTTCACACACACTACTTACATGCTACTGTTCCCTCCATCTGCTTCACACACACCCCGTACAAGCTGCTGTTCCCTCCCCCCGCCTCCCACACACGCCCCGTACATGCCACTGCTCCTATCTCAGCTTCACACATGCCCTGTACATGCAGTTGGGGCCTCCCTCAGCTTCACACACACTACTTACATGCTACTGTCCCCTCCTTCTGCTTCACACACACCCCGTACATGCTGCTGGTCCCTCCCTCAGCTTCACACACGCCCCTTACATACCGCTGGTCCGTCCCTCCGCAGCACACACACCCCGTACATGCTGCTGGTCCCCCGTTCCCTCTTCCTGCCTCGTTACCGGCGTCTGTTGTCGGTCGCTTCATTCAGCTTCAATACACCCTTTAGTTGCTGCTGTCCCCCGTTCTCCCTTCCTGGTTCGTTACCCCCATCGGTTGATGCCCCTCTTTCAGCTTCAAATCACTAAGCAGTTGCTGCAGCCACGCCTCCCAGGGTTTATTACGCCCCTTCCCCACCCCCCTCTCCCCGCCCCTCCTTCCCTCTGCCCTTCAGCTCTGACCTACCGGGGGACAAGGTCGTCAAAATCTGGGCAGGACGCCCAAGCGGCGTGCTCCTTCTTGTACCACGGTCCATTGTCGTTGTTGCCATGTAGTATTGCATGCCGCATCCACTCGCGTACACTCTTGTGATACTCACTCGTTTTGTCTTCGTTTTGGGGACCACTTCTTACAAGGCTGACCAGGGTTGGGTTCTTCATACGATGCTCAACCTGTAAATAATATAAGTGCCAATCATCAGTGTACGAATATAGCCACTTGTATAACTTGGGCTGGGTGAGATAACATACCCCAAATAACCAGTATGCAACGTGATACGGCTTGAGGATGAGAGGACCAGCCTTCTTTCGTTTGAACGAAGCCGCGATTCCCACTTGAAATGGTGCTGTTGCAAATGGCACACGGTGCTCATCAGCATGCCACTTCCAGAGGCCAAATGTGTCGGGCTCTGGAATGGAAAAGGCAGTGGGAAGGGCATGCTCGATATAAACCAGAACAAAAGGGTTACACACAAGACATTGCAAGAGATCAAGGTGATGCCTACTACCGCCCATTCAAACTCAATTACCGTACCTTCCTTATACAGTTTGATAAAGTCCTCCACTTTTGTTGGTGCTCCGCGCACAGGTGGTAGTTTCACACGAGCGTACGTAGGGACGGTGTATGGCAGACCGTGCATGAGATACACGGCTGTCCGTCCTTGCTCGTGAATCTTACACCGTAGACGCTGCAGCTTTTTGGTTAGCCAATCACGGCGGAGCTTGTCGTTGTTCCACACCATGTGGACTTTTAGTTTCAAGTCCGGCTCCTGAAAGGATAGCGCCCTCAGCATGGCAGCCTCGATTTCTGGATCTTCTGGCCACATTGTTGTCTCGTCGTCCTCTTTATCATATAGGAGTATGTCGATGGTGTCCTTGCATAAAGTCTGCGATAGGGGAAGTGGGAATAGGGAGGAGGGAATCAATAATGGCCTATAGGGGTGGGAAAAAATGTTGGTAATAATCGGCCAAGAAAGGAACGAGGAATGAAGAGTGGGATAGGCAATAATGGGGCGGGCAGGAAAGAGGAGGGTAGAAGGAAGAATGAGTGGGGTTGGGGGAATGAGCAAGCTGGGATGGGGATGGCATGAACAGGGTTGGGGGAATGGGTCAGCTGGGATGGGGATGGCATGAGTGCGGTTGGGGGAGTGGGTCAGCTGGAATGGGGATGGCATGAGTTGGGTTGGAGGAATGGGCAAGCTAGAATGGGGA